GTCCGACAATCTCCAATACAAATCACCTGTGAGGTTTTAGTATTTGTCTTTCCTCACTCAAAGCGTCTATGTGTCCGGCACTATCCAACATCACTCAACTCGTGAGGTTTCAGTATGTAGCTATCCCCACTCAACGCGTCTATGTGTCTGGCAAACTCAAAAACCAATCCATCTGTGAGGTGTCAGTATGCAGCTATCCTCAGTCAACACGTCTATCTATGTGTTAATCTCCAATACAAATCAACCTGTGAGGTTTCAGTATGTATCTTTCCTGACTCAAAGCGTCAATGTGTCCGGCACTATCCAACATCACTCAACTCGTGAGGTTTCAGTATGTAGCTATCCCCACTCAGCGCGTCTATGTGTCTGGCAAAAACCAATGCATCTGTGAGGTTTCAGTATGCAGCTATCCTCACTCAACACGTCTATGTGTCCGGCAATCTCCAATACAAATCACCTGTGAGGTTTCAGTATGTGTCTTTCCTCACTCAAAGCGTCTATGTGTCTGGCACTTTCCAACATCACTCAGCTCGTGAGGTTTCAGTATGCAGCTATTCCCACTCAAAGGGTCAATGTGTCTGGCAAAGTCAAAAACCAATCCATCAGTGAGGTTTCAGTATGCAGCTATCTTCACTCAACACGTCTAGGTGTCCGACCATCTCCAATACAAATCACCTGTGAGGTTTCAGTATGTGTCGATCCTCACTCAAAGCGTCTATGTGTCCGGCACTTTCGAACATCACTCAACTCGTGAGGTTTCAGTATATAGCTATCCCCACGCAGCGCGTCTGTGTCTGGCAAAGTCAAAAACCAATCCATCTGTGCGGTTTCAGTACAGTGGGTGGCCCGATATAGTGCCGGTTGAATAGTGCCGGTTTCCGGTATAGTGCCGGTGTTTTCGGCTCGCACATCACACTGGAATACCAAGTCGTTCTGTACTTGGAATAGTGCCGGTGTCCGGTATAGTGCCGGTGAAATTTCTCTGCACATACCGGCACTATATCGGGCCACCCACTGTATGCAGCTATCCCCACTCAACACATCTATATGTCCGNCCACGCAGCGCGTCTGTGTCTGGCAAAGTCAAAAACCAATCCATCTGTGCGGTTTCAGTACAGTGGGTGGCCCGATATAGTGCCGGTTGAATAGTGCCGGTTTCCGGTATAGTGCCGGTGAAATTTCTCTGCACATACCGGCACTATATCGGGCCACCCACTGTATGCAGCTATCCCCACTCAACACATCTATATGTCCGGCAATCTCCAATACAAACCACCTGTGAGGTTTTCGTATGTGTCTTTCCTCACTCAACACGTCTATGTGTCCGGCAATCTCCAATACAAACCACCTGTGAGGTTTTCGTATGTGTCTTTCCTCACTCAAATCGTCTGTTTGTCTGGCAAACTCCAATACAAATCACCTGTGAGGTTTCAGTGTGCAGCTATCCTCACTCATTACGTCTAGGTGTCCGGCAATCTCCAATACAA